GTTTCTACATGGTGCAAAGACTGGCTAGCCATCTGTATGGTGAGCATCACTCTGGAACCTGATTCTGCCACTAGGAAATCCTCCTGAAGTGATAAACAAGACTGTAAGTATGTAGATTAAATAAGTCCTCTTTGTTGAAATAAAATTTGTGGATAGTGAATATCCTGATCATCTATATTCAAAATATCTCCCTAGCTAAGCTGATCTCTATGACTAAAATTTACAATTTTCTTTTTCCCTTTGAACTCAGGCAAGAAGATTCCTATTATATTAGGGGCAGAGGAAAGAGAGCATGGATAGTGGTAACACCTCTACCTTTAGAGTCTTAGCTTAAAGTTGTTTATTACCACAGGCCACATTACCTGCGTATGTTCTGATGCAGAAGAATCAGGGCAGTTCTGTAAAGGCAAAAAGCCCTAATCGGTGGGTTGGGGCAGCAGGAAGACATGACAATGAGAGGGACTACCCAGGTAAGGAATGTAAATTCACCAAAATAAGCCTTCATTTTCTTTCTAATTTTTCCACTCTTCGCCAAGCTGAACCTTGGTCCAATCACACCATTTCTCTGTCTGTTCCAGTGGCTTCTGATTGCCAGTAGATGAAAGCATCCTGCTCAAACTCACTCCTGCCTCTTCTCCAGGCTTGCTTCACAATCTTGCTACCTGCTCTTATGGAATCCTGTATTTTTATAGAGTTTCTTACAATTTTATTTTGATAACTGTGTAATTAGTTCCTAACATCTATTCATTAAAACACAAGCTTCATGGTAGAAGAGATTTTGTCTTTCATCAATGCTTCATTTCTGGAATATGTTATAGAGCCTTATGTAGGGTAGATAGATTCTCAAGCATTATTTGAATGAATGATAGAAGGGCATGTTTTCATTAGCACACAAGATGTCTACAGATAAAATATGGGAAGGAAAGAAGCAAGTAGATAAATATTTCAAACTAAAAAAAAAAAAACTATTTCCCTACTTGGGGTTAATGAATAGATAGTATCTCATTATAGCTCTGACTGGAATAGAAATATTCACTTTTAGTTAAATCCAGGCCTGATGACTTTTCTTTCTAAAGTCGGTGGGTAATTATTTTCTTTCTCGAGAATGAGGGAAATGATTGTCAACTCTCATGCATTCATATATATTATCCTTGACCAATTTTTATCTCAGGCCAACTTTTTCATACAAATTGCTATAGTTTTAATGTTTTTCCCTTTCAAAACTCAACGTTGAAATTTAATCGCATTGTAATAGTGCTAAGAGATGAGACTTTGAAGAGGCAGGTAGACCATTAAGGTTATAAGCTCAGGAGTGGGGTTGGTCTTTTTTTATTAATTAATTTTTTTAAGGTGGTGCTAATGATCACACCCAGCACTTTACACAAGCTAGGCAAGCTCTCTGTCACTGAGCTACAGCCCCAGCCCTGGATTGGTGCTTTTATAAAAGGGTTTGTTTAGTTTCCCCTTGCTCTCTCTCCTGCCCTCTCTTCCTTCCATTTTTTTGCAATGGAATAACACAGTAAGAAGGCCATATATTAGTTCTTTGATTTTGGACTTCCCAGCTTCCAGAACCATGATCAAATAAATTTCTGTTTATTTATAAATTATACAGTTTCTGGCTTTCTGTTATAGAAACACAGGATGGATTAAGACGTAAATAAAATACAAGATGATACACAAAATATCTTTCCCAAGCTTGGAATAGAGAACATGAGTACTTGAAGAAAGTTCCAAATGTAAATTTATTTGGAATTTTGGCCTGCCTTAGATTATCTACACTTCTCTTTGGTATGTATAAGAATATTAGTGCAACTAATTGAGAACTAGATGTAGCTCAACATTTTTAGACTACATTTTTAGACTTCTTTAATTTAGACTACATTGAAACAAGAAATTCTGCTCCCATAAGAAATGGGTGTATTTTTTTTTCTTGGAGACTTAAATGAGAATGTTCATAGTGATCTTATTCAGAATAATCCTCAAATAGAAACAACTCCAATGTCAACACATAGTAGATGTTCAAGCATTATTTGTTGAGTGACTAGTAAAACAGATAGGTATGAAGAACATATTCACATAATAGAACATGGCTTAACAATGAAAAGGAATCATGGACACAAGCAATGATATGGTCAGATCTCACTGATATTATGTTGAGCTAAAGAATTCATACTCTATGTTTCCATTTAAATAAAGTTCAAGAGGCGACAAAACTATTCTATAGTGCTAGGCCAGAATTAGGAAAGTAATCATTTCTGAATGGCAGTGTGGATGGAGGATTGACTGGAAAAGACTATGAAGAAACTTGTTGGGCTGAAGGAAGCATTCTATGTCTTGCTTTTGGTGATCTCAACGCAGGCATATACATTGGTGAAAATTCAATGAAGGAACACTTAAAATTTGTAAGTATATTATAATAATAAACAAAAATATCAAAAATAATTCATGAATAATTTATATTTTCAAGAAAATACTTAGCTCAGAAATAAAATGCACAGTACCTTGTTTCTTACAATGCTTTTGAAATCAAATTGGAAAAAAAAAGAATTAAAAAATAGTCATTAACTCACACCCTTAAATTATAGCAAACCTCATATGTGATGATTAATCAGCACATCTGCTTGTATTGAAATTCACAACTTCACAGAGGTAGGGATTTTGTCTTGCTTACATTTGTATCTCAAGCATGTAGCTCAGGGACTGAACTGACTCTTATCCTGAAGCACCTAAGTGACTTTGAAGAAGTCTTAACTTCTCCAGGCCTCCATTTCTTCATTCGTATAATAAAAATAATCTCTAACATCTCCAAATGTGTTGTATAAGCAGAACAATAGTCTCAGTCCATTTTTTTTGATGCTATAACAAGAAACTAAGACTAGGTAATTTAAAACTAAAAGAAATTAATTTCTCAGGTTCCAGAGGCTGATGTGTTCAAGATCAAGGTGCCAGCAAGATTGTTGTTTGGTAAGGGTCCTGTCTCTCTTCCATATGGCTGCTTGAGTACTGTGTCCTCACATGGTGGAAGGGACAGAGGGCACCGGAGAACTCTCACCAACCTGTCTTATAAGAGCCCTCATGGCTTCATCCCTTACTAAAAGCCCCCAACTTTTAATATTTTTGCATTAGAGATTAAGTTTCAGCATGATGTTTGGAAGGGACACAAACACTCAATCCATAGCCTAGACCCCAAATAATTTTGAATAAAAAGTTCTACTCAGTAAAAGTAAAACTTTTTATTCAAAATTATTTTGGGTATTGAAGATGCTAAAATGATATTCTAATATCATTTTAATATCTTCAATAGGTTGCCTTACATTTAAGTTTTTTTTTT